AGAGTTATCAAAGAATAATTTTACTATGTTAACATATTTTCCATATGGTATTGCTGGTTGTCATATCACTAAGTCAGTGATAATCAATCGTTATGATGAGCATAAATTAGAGTGGGAACATGAGAATTACTTTCCAGAGAAATTAAAAAATTTTTATGGCTGTAAATGGATGTGGGCTACTCAGGAAGATATGCCTTATTCGGCATTTGAGCGTGATGTCAATAAAAATATTGTTGCTTACAAGGGAATTGAAGGACAGTTATTCAACTTCATGAGCAGAAACTTAAATTTTTCTATAGAAGTCCAAGAGGTTAACTTTAATAAAGTCTTGGATGGTGCACAATATGCTGAAGTAAGTGTGTTGAAAATAGTAAATAAATGATTTTTACATGTGTAGTATACATATAATATTTTAAGATGCTTCTTCAGTATCCAGAATACGTGTTTGGTGGTTTGCACTATAAAGCAGATTTATGGAGAAACGCAACATTCTCTCAATCATTTAATTTCTTTTTAAGCCATTTTTTTGTGGTCACCAATCTTCCCAGCTTTGATTCAAGCATTGAAAAATTGTTGTTTGCTTTTCAAACATCCGCGTGGTTACTAATTGGAACCTGTTATATTCTTGCTAGTATATTTATTTTCATTTACGGTAATCTAAACGCAAAGTGGCGTGAAGTAGTTATGGGCCACAGGAACACTGTGCCTCATTATAATCTATTTGTTATTGCAATGGGGTCGAGTAGTGTGGCAGCTGTACCACGTCGAAACTTTGCACGGTTTTTGCTTATTATTTGGTTGCTAGCCACTCTTGTATTACGCAGCATTTATCAAGCCAGAATGTACCAAATGTTAAGAGATAAAACGTTTCATAATCCACCAAAGACAATAGCTGATGCTCTCTCCGGAGATTACGTTTTGCAAACAATACCAAGTACGAATGCGGTTTTTCGAAATTTACCAACACCAAAGCAACAAGTATTCTTAAATGAAACGGAAAAAAATATATTGATTGCAATGGGCTATTCACAGGAACCAAAAGCTCTCGTTACAGCATATGAATATTATGGATATATACGTAAGATGAATTTAATAAATCATAGGTTACACTTGGTTAAACAGCGAATTTTAACCAAGCAATTAGTTTATTTTGTACGAAAAAATTCACATTTATTGTTTGAAATCAATATGCAGATCCTAACAGCACAAACGTATGGATTTATGGACAAATGGATTCGTGAGATTGTGCAATACGATCGTATATTAGGTAGCCCAAAAACCAGTGCCTCTAAAGAAAATGCAAAAAACTTTGTAATCGAAAGAACAGCAAATGTGTTAGCCTTGCAGGAGTTGGAGGCTGTTTTTATTGCTTTAGTATTATTGCATGGATGCTCTATTGTAGTATTTATATTAGAAATATATTTATTTCGTAATTAACACTTATAATGTGTAATAGTATATTTACGCTTTTGTTGCTAATGAGTGTGTCATTATATTAAAAATTATTTGAATAAAAATTTACTTAGGTTAATGTGGGTATTAATTAATGCAGTAAAAAGTTTATTATTTAAAATTGTATACTACGCTCGAAAGAAAATGTTTTATAAGGGTGTAAGGAAGTTAATTTTGGCCTAATTTTAACTCATAGAATGACTTTGTAACAAAAGTTTTTCAGATAAAAATAATACTTTTCTGTGATACAAGAGTAAATTGATGAACAACGCAATTAACGTTCACAAATTCAAGGAATTTGGTAACCTAAATCCATATTTAAATCTACATATAAACACTTTAGAACTAAATCAGTTATGACAAATAAAGTCAATTTAATTAAAGGACTATCAAACCTTAAAGTTTCTGTATATAAGTTCATTTAAAATTTCAGTTGATCAGTTTTTATAATTATATGTAAACTGTTTGGAAGTTTAAGCCTTAGTCTTGAACTTCGAAGTCCAATAAAGTCCAGCTTGATTGTTGCACATTAACAGATTTGTTTAATGGATAGCACTTAATTTCAAAATTAAGACAAATAATTTTAATTAATTTTTTATATTAGATGTAAATATGTACTAGCATTATATAAACTTCAGGTTTGAAGAGCTTAGCTTTAAGAGCATTAAGGAAAATATACTTGCAATAACTGTTAAGACTGCATATATACCTACATATTATGGAAATATGGTTGCTTTAAGAGATAAAAATAACAAAAAAAAAAATGTTTGCTTCAAATACTTTTATTTATTCGTGAAACCACATATTTTAAAATAGTTTATAGGATATAAGATATATTTTTCTGTGTATATATAAAAAACTACAATTGATTACAAATTTCTTTTTAATTATAAATTCGTTTTATTTCTGTTTATATCTATAATATATTATTTCAACTAAAAAAGCAGTAAAAGAAATTATCAAGAGAGCTGTATAAATAATAAAAATTCCATTAATTTGCTCCCACGAAATAGCACTTGCACTGTCTACTTTTTTACTAGGCCATTTGATTTTTTCAATACTTTTTGAAGCCCAGTAATCTATGAGTCCCTGACTTCTCAATTGCATAAATATATAATTAAAGCGATCGATTAAATATGTGTGCTTTGTGAAGTACATAGTAATATGTTGGGTAAAAATTTTTTCAGGTAAAACAAAGAAAATGCCACGTTTATTGTTCTTGACAACATAAAACTTTAAAAAGTCCATTGGAGAGACGCCTGCTAAGCGTTTGTTGCTGTTTTCGGCCACAATGGCAAATGTGTCCGGCTCAAATGTGCTATTGTTAAATATAATGTCTGTTTCATCTATGTGGGGAACTCTTTTCACTTGATCAAAAGCTGTTGTAGTTATAATCAATGTATAATGCCTTGATATTAAATCTGATAATGTTTTTGGTGGTTCTTGATACATATCAGTTTGCAACAGTTGAAACAGTAAACTCTGATATGCTGTGCGTATTAGTAAACCATATATGAACCAATGGATGATAACAAACCTTGTATATGTGCTGCTTGGCATAGGTGTAATCGGTACACCTAAAAAAACGCTTACTAAATTTGTTAAAGGTGTTTGTGGTCGTGGTATGCCTAGTATTATCCGCGCCAACCATGATTTCTTTATATAACGATGGAGTATATAAGTTAAGATTAGTGTAAAACATAAGCTGATGAATAAACATAACCAAGTTTTAGTATCAAAAGCGAAGCCAAGTATTTCTAAAGAAGAATAGGGTTGCATCAAAAGAACTGCATAAACTGTCCAAGATTGATAATATGGTAAAGCCCCAGTGAGTTCTTCACAGCGTTCCAAAGTATAGCGAAATGAACCCAAACTCATATCGGCTTTTCTTTCCTTTAACTAAAAAATGAAAAATTGGTTTAATTCTATTTATTTGACTAAGTTGAGTATTTATAAAAAAATAATTATTAATCTGTTAATTTATTAGTTTTTCAAAGAATGGAATTTCTGCTACTGTTTAGTTAGAGAATTGGTTTGATTTGATTTGTCAGTTTAAAATAGATTGGTTTGGTCCGGCTCACAGGGGTTATTTTGACTGATCGGTTTTTGTATGAAATATATGAAATAATATAAATGATTGAAATTTCTATCTTATTTTTATTAAGAGATAATAATTTATAATTAAAGTTATTTTAATTGCATCTTATCAAATGAAATTCAAATTATATACGAAAACTTTTAACGAGCATTTTTAACGTTCAGTATTCTTATTGTGTTCTTTCTGTGCTGAAATTTTTAATAAAATATGGAAAGACTCAATAATATGCAAACATCTGTATATCATTTGGCCACTTATCACTAAAAGAAAATCCAATATTCTCATTGAGATGCCCCTTAGAGGTATCAGCCTTATGATAGGTATACTTACAGATCACTACGAACTAGGGAACCATGCTAGAAGTTTGAATCTCCCTTTCAATCATACCTATCGCAGCTGTGGGAAGACGATGAAAGTGTCTCTCATCTATTCTGTTTTTGCCCACCCGTTGCAAGGTGGCGACTCAGCATTTTATGAGCCCCCTTTCTTGAGGAACTTTGAGTTTCGCCAGAGGTTCTAGATGGTTTTGAACCCTGTGTTTGAACCCTTTCCTATATGTATGGTAATACAATGAGGTAGCACATAGGCATCACCGGTATGATCTAACCTAACTTAACGAGTATTTTTAAAATTATTCAGAATTTAAAAGAAAGTAAAAGTTGGCTTCGATTTTGTGAAGGGCTTAATATCCTTCAAACCAATAGGTTCTTGAGTATTATGAATCAATTTGTAACTAATTTTTATCAGGGCACTCTTCTTTTAATAAGAAGCATTGTTGAAAATGGGACCGGTACAGGATGAACTGTTTATCCTCCCTTATCTTCTATTATTGCTAATGGAGGAGCTTCTGTTGATTAAGTTATTTTTTCACTTCATTTAGCAGGAATTTCTTCTATTCTAGGAGCTGTAAATTTTATTACAACTGTTTTTAATATACGATCTTCAGGAATTAATTTTGATCGAATATCTTTATTTGTATGATCC